CTCCCTCCCCCCCCGGATTCATCCGCGTGTTATTATTGTTGTTCCAATTAAATGGGGCCCGGGAAACGAATAAGACTGCAAATTCCACCTTGTAGTGCCCCGATCGGCAGCCCTCCCCGCAAAAACATTATTATTATTAGTATACGTGTAGATATATATATATATAATACAAACTGCAGGAGAGCGATAATTATTGTTGTTAACGTTTAATATTTCCATTTGTTTCCGTAGGTATTGTGAGCTTGCGGGTGTCGATATGCGGGGGGAGGGAGCGAGGAGCGAGGAAGAAGACGTGCGCCGAAAACTTTTGACCACCGCCGATGGGACTATAATCCTCCCTGTGATCAGTAGATCCATTGTCGGGTACATATAATAATAACACGTTTAAGTACAGATATTCTGTGGTTTTGTACAAACATTGTATTATATTATGTTGTACAGGTAAACGTAATAATAGATATATTCRTATATTATGTGAGGGAATACAAATTCAATATTTCTGAATTCTAAGATAATGGGTATTTATATTATATTTATATCTGTACATCGCCAGTTATAAAAATCCGTACCGTTTAAGGTCTTGTTGATGTTGATTTGTGCTCCGTCATCCCGTTTCCATTTGATATCTGGTTTCGGGTAACCATCCACATGACACGTCAACGATACATTTGCTCCTTCTCGAACTATTGCATCTGAACTACTCAAGGAGTCAGAAATCGATGGTGGTACTGTTGATARAAAAAAATAATAACACAGTATTATTACAATATTATAAATAACCGCATACATGTAATAATAATTTTATGAATTAATTTTCTTTTTTTCTAAAAAAATACCATCACAGTACCTAATGCCACTATAAGCAATACTAATTACCCAATTAACATTATTGACAGCCCTGAAAGCTGATTGGTACATGGGCGCATGCACRAAGGGAGATGATAGGGAATATTTTTTACTTTATTTCACATTAATAATTAGAATTATTGATTTTTTTTTTTTAACTAGAACATTGTACAATTTGTAAAATAATAATTTACAATAAAAACAAGAGATTTAAGAAATTGTATACCTAGAATAGATAAAATAACAAACAATAAGTTAAATTAAATTACAATTATTTACATCAGTTCGGGCTTGAGTGAGTTAATTATTGATTTAACTCTAATAAATGCAAAAATAAACAACTGTAAACATCATATTCAGGAACATTATAAAAAATAGAGATTTATAGATATTAATATATTATATTATATTATAATAGAAATTATCATGACATTATAATATTGTGTTCAAAATATTTTAGTTAAATTAAAAARTAATAACTTTAAATCATCATAACAATATTACATAACACTAAGGTTTATCAGAGTGACTCAAAATAAGTGGACAGCGATGGACATCGATAATATTTGTAGATAATTGCGATAGATTATTTTTGAAAAAATAAGTAGAGTGATGAAAAATTTGTATCATAAAAGTGGAGGCATGCCAACCCACCAAATATTCCCTAGCCACTTGAACTACTGGTTCTTCTCGATATGTTACACATAATATATGTACATATATAAATAAACAATATACATAATCCATATACCTAATATCTATATTTATATATCGTATGATATATAACATACAAATGCCAAATAATTTAAAAACTAATTATATAATGCACATTTCATTGACATACATTAAATTCAAATTATATTGTTCGGTATAATATATTAATATTATGTTCTTAGGTWAACCCTGATTTATGAATATTTAATTTGCTGTACAACAAAAAAAGTTCAAATACTTTGATTGACATTATTGTGTACATAATAATATGATATTGTAAATCAATTATGGCTTTGTAGATTGAAAAAATACGTTTATAGAGTCAGTATATTTCATTTATTTTTAATTACGATAATATATGTACAATTACAAACAAATYCAAAAACATTTTTATGAACGATACATAAAATATTATAATATATACAATAATAATGGTAGGTAATATTGGTATACCTACTGATAGCGTGTTTAAAATTATATGAACTAAAATGTGTACTTAAATTAATACTAGCTGTTTAATATCACTTCAACATTACAGTGTAAAAAAAAAATGAACATTTATAAAATAAGATGCTATTAAAATATCACATCTGTATTTATAGCTTTTACTATTTTATAGCTAGTTTAGTATATCTCAGTTCACGGGGAAACCGGCGTGAGTATTGCATAATACCCAGTTGAAATTCCACCGAGATAGACGATCCGCCTGTTCTATGATGAAATAAATATATAATTATTAGTAAAACGAAATTCGTGTGGTAGCTATCACAATGGAAACCTTTAGCCAGGGTTTGGGATTATCAAAGATACATATTGTATAAATGGCATACATCAAAAACACTCTATCTTGCATCTATTGTGTCATGGTACATAATTTTATAAAGGATCAAGTATTATACATTATGATACATTCTATAGTAATATTATATGTATATCTTACTCGTATTTTTCCAAAAAATATGMAATGATATGCTATTGTTGTAATCATTTGTAATGAAAAGCAATATTGATTTCGATTTTGATGACACTCAAAACTTAAAATAAATGCGACAWTGTTATAACTTGTAAGATAATTTGAAAACATAAACTTAAATCATTAAGAACCGTTGGAATTTCGTTCTCATAAAATATGAATCCATCATTATGTATTTACACATAAAATCAAAAGTAAARCCATAACTCATGAAGAGCTATAAGTTAATGATTTGAATGATGTAATTTATAAATCGTGATGTATTTAACTATACATTTTTAATGTACATTGACTTATTTTATTATTTAATGATTGTGAGTCCATAAGTATTGATTTAGACTTTAGAAACATTAGGTATAGTTAATATAGTTAATAAATGTCAATAAATTGAAAATATAAAATATGGAGTACCACTAATATATCATCTATCTTGTATCTTTTCTATATTTACAATATATCTAGATATACACTGCATGTATCGTGATATATTTTTTTTAGTATTACGCCAACCCTACTTATAGCCTATAGATATTTGAATACGAAGCTATTAATACTCTCCAAGTATCAACGATTAAATGTACACAATTAAGTGCCAATTGGTTTAGTAGTTTTCAAGTCTAYAAACCCCTTACRTACAAACATAYATACATATATACATTACATATTACACATATAAAGTATATATTATACAATACATGTAAACGAACATAATGCTTAATCGTATATTATGTATAATATTCACTGTTACTATAACTACTAAAATGGTATGCTATATTACGGAGGGTATATATACATCTTGAAGTTAGTACAAATTTAATAAAACGTATACAGAATTAGTGTTTACCACTATGCGGAAAACTGTGTACATGTGATAATAACAAAGTCACACATGATACATAATAMGCCTTTTAGCTATTCAATTAAAAAGGTTTCCTTTTTTTTTTTGGTTAACGCGTTTGGAGCAATTTAATGAACGCACACATCTTGTGTCCTTTATGAAAAAATTATTGTGAAATGTATMATAAAAATTATTTAATTCGAAAAATTAGCGATGTTTTAATTTGATTTACTCCAAACTCCAAATAAAGTCTCACTTATGTCATTAGTGCGTCAGTATTTAATATATAAACACACACACACACACTACATAGATACGCGTTATTATGTGAGGAATAATTTTTTGTCGACGCGCTGGTGAAAAAAAAACACTTGTAATAACACTTAAAAAGTCACATAATTTATAATGAAATTAAAAACAAAATTATTACATAAAAAAAATGTGTGTATTTATCATTATAATAAAAATGCTTAGGCTACCAATTGGTAATATAAGTGGCAAGTCACCGGTTCAAAAAAATGTATAGCAACGATCATATTTATATTATATTTAAAATGTATTGTACATTAAGAGTTATCATTTTTTATTTTTATTTGGCCACCTAAAAATGCATATTTGATGATTTTTAGTGCATGAAAKTCCTTGCTTTAATAATAGTAATAATTATTACYTAACCAAACAACTTTRTTTGTTAGTTTGTTATGCAGTCATATAAAGTTTTACTTTATTTCTTTATTTGGTTATTAAAATTAAATTATGTAGGTAGATTTAAACACGACTATACAAGCAATAAA